CAGGATGTGGTTTGCCCTCTTGGTGCCAGGGCACACCACTGACTCCTACTGATCCTGCTGCCAACCAGCAGCCCCTGGATCCCTTTCTGCAGGGCTGCTCTACAGCTGCTCCTCTCCCAATTCATACTTGTGCCCAGAGTTACTCTGTCCCAGGTGCAGAATCTGTCATTTGTTCTTGTTAAATTTAATGCCACTTATTACTGCCCAGGGCTCCAATCTATCTGGATCTCTCCGCAAGGCCTTTTAGCCCTTGAGAGTCAAAGCAAAGAAAGTCAACAGCAACCTTCCAGTTCAGTGTCATCAGCAAACTTGCAATCATCTTCTACATCCAAGTCATTAATGTTTACGTCTTCCCCTGCCCGTCTGTTTGTGATTATTATCCACTGGAGAGCTCTGGTGACATCGAAGGTATACAGCCAGTGCTTCAGATGACATCTGTCTGGTATCAACCATACAGGTCTTTGTACTTCCTCATGTACAACCTTTCAGGCATCACATGTGCAGCACAGGCATTTCTGGTCTGGTACCTCATGGCGATCATGGCCTTAGCATCATTTATTTCAGTGATCTCCAAACTTCCTTGATTGCACACTCAAAAAAAAATATTTTTGAGCACATGCCCCCTAATATATGTGTATTTATTTATTTCTAAATTATATATATATATACTACTTGCTAACATGTTATATATATTAAAATGGAAATTAAAAAAGAATGAGATGAAAATTAAATAAACGCTTATTAAAATTTTTTATTAAAATATTAATGGCACAAAAGTATTTTCTTCCCTTGCCCCAATGGATTGTCTTTGGAGACCACTGATCTACTTCATCCAAGGGCATTGCTCAGCACTGTGCTAGTTATGCACTGTAAAGGTCCCTGTCATGTACCTGGAGTACCAGTAACTTTCTGAAGATATTAATTTCCTGTGTCTAGATTAACTTCAGGAATGCTGTCAGCTTGGCCTAACTTGCTTCTTGGTCCTCTGTGGTCTTTCTTTGCTTTGAGAGAGCTGAAGAACTTTCTAAATGGCTGTAGAGGGTAAACCCTGGAGTGGTCTCATACATTTGACCTCTTTGAGCAGTCTTTGGCCTGATCAAGCCACTAAAACTCTCTGAGACTTCATCTTGAACATTACCTTGAATTTTTTCTGCAGAAGGGATCCTGGGAACCATCTGATTTTCCTCCAAAGTGACACGTCAGATGGATACAACCCTGGACTGAAAAGCTGCTACCCAAGCTGACAGCATAGACATGCTCCAAGGGTAGGGTTAATTTACCTTAACACAAGTGTTTAATGGTATTTCAGACTGCCTATGGTATTCAAGACTTTCAAATGAGTCTGACACAGGGCTTGTGGGATAGTCTCAGCTTCTCACCCCCTGAAGCAGCATTTGGAGGGCAGATGGGATCCCTGAGTGTGCAAAAGTATCACTAGACAGATATCAGTATTCAGGCAATGGACTCCTCCCACCTCTGGTGTCTTCCACGTGTCCCTGGGTTTGCGAGGTGCCCAAGTTCTGATCTTCTGATCCCCCAGCTATTTGGAGGATAGCTGGTCAATGCAGCCTCTGAGGCCAAGAGAGAGTTTGAGGTCACTTTTGAGGAGACCTGCATTTGATCAGGTTAATTACTCTGCTGGCTTAATTGACTTCCCAAAGTGGATGTACATCAACTCTATCAGGTGTTGAGACACCCACTTCACAGATACAAAGCATCACTGTACATGTCTAAATCCAGATGTCTGCATCTGCAGCTGATTTCTCCCTCTGCAACTTAGAATGCCTTACATCAGTGCTTTGTGTCCCTGTCACCTCCATTGGCTGAGCCAGCATCATCTCCAGAAAAGAAGGTACTTAAGATGGATCTGAGAAAAAGAGTGGCATAAATCTTAAGTTTTTGTGACCTCTGACTTTTACTTCTAAGTTACAGTTTTTTGCTCTGTGCATGGCCAAAAAGGATCTACGGAATGAGATTTTTCTTAAGACTGATGGCTAAAATTAATGTATAAATCATCCTTTGGAGGGATCAATATTCCTCTCTTGCCTGGAGACAGTCCCTGAACAACTGTCTTGGATTTAGACTGTCAACTGAGATGAATCCTGTCCTTAATCCTGTCCTTACTTTGCAGCTCATGCAGTTGTTGGATTTGACAGCATAGGTAATTTGGACCTTAGGACTTTGTCTGAGATTCCTGAACACTTCTGAAACCATGAAAGAAGCCTGATACCCTGAGGTATAAATTGCCATCAGATAGCTATGTGTAGGACCACAGCGTCAATATTAAAGATTCGTAAGGTGAATCATATCCACTGCTGTCTAAACTTTTTACCTCTTGGAATGAACCATGAGCCCAGGGAACTGAATAAACAAGAAAGAAGGCACGTTTGTGACAAACAGTGACACTCCTAGAAGACCACAAAGGATCTTTCTAGGGAGATCATCACATGCCACTTTGGGAAGGGAGAAAACTACAATAAACCAAATTGCATAGCATTGGTGTAACGACTCACACAGGAAAAGCTCTGAGAAAAAGCTAGGCTGGTATCTCTTAAAGCAATTGCAAAATAGAAGCAATCTTAATGGCACTAAATTAAGCATTTTATTTTTCTCCTTCTCGGCATTTAGTGTTGAACCTTTTAGTAATACATACTGTGCTTGGAAAAGTCGGTTATACATGCATATACATGCAGAAGATCTTTGCAGGATAACAGGTTACTTTCATAAAAAGCTGCATACTTGAAATGTTAGAAAATGAGATGTGATTTTGTCACTTACAAGACAGGTCACTGAGATGTGTGCATAAGAAAACCTCAGAACAGAAGGCATCTAAAGGGGAGGAGGAAGAGTGTTCTTTGGCTAAGAGGCAATTTCAAGGGATTAGGGGACAGAACAATAACCAGCTGATATGATCTGAAAGATGTTTCTAAGGTTTTGCAAAACAAAAGGTCTTCCTCCCAGGAATATTTGATTTTCTCAATCTACATGGTGAGTACTTCTCTCTTCCTTAATAACAGTACCATAACAAAGATGATCTGAAGCATGACATGTGATCCAACTCCCCGAAGGGGGTGAGAACATTTCTATTAAGACGTGTGTTGCCTTCACCCCAAAAGAAGAGGTTTTCTAGCCCTTGCAGACTTCTTTCAGAGCTAAATGTGCTGTCCAATTAATTTATTAGAAGTAGTCACTTTATCAATTCAAATATTCCATATTATTATTACTCTTACTACTACTATTATTATCGCTGCTAGAACTCAAGATTTGGTGATAGATTAAAGTCAGGATTCTTGTTAACCTGTAGGAGTGATTCATACTTCTTTCATTTCATAAGCATGAATTAAAGTATTTTCATTAAAATCATTGCACAAGAAGTCAGGGAGTATTCATCTCTGAAAGTTAGACATCCAAGTCTGAAGAAGTACTTTAGGTTCAGTGTATTGTGAGTGGAGAGAGCAAGAGAGGTCCAGAAGGCAATTTTCAGACTTATCTTCATTACCTGCTTAAGATGAAGATGAGTTATTCCTGCCAACCATCATTGCTATCAACTAATTAGAAAAACCTGCAGTGAGTAACTCAAAACTGGCACGTTTTGGGCAACTCATTTAGCGCATTTGGCAGCATTAAGTGCTTGATTTGGTTGCATGCATACAGGTAGCTAGTTCCTTTTGAAATATCTGAGGGTTACCTGACCAGCCTCCCATTGTGTTCCCCAGGGGCAATGGGGCAATGGTCCTCCATAGTGCCTGCAACTCCTGAAGATACCTCATTAGTCTAGGAATTGAAGTGGATCCTTCTGACAATGTGTAGAAGTCAGTTGAATAACTCAGTGGCATTTTACATGCCTTATGATGTGCCGTCTCATTTCCAGCATGCAGAAACCTATAAATACATGTCCAATCTGTCAGCACTGTATCGATGTCCTGAATATTCGGTGGTGCCCAAGTTGTTATTAGACATCTACGTTTAAGCAATTGAGTTCCATCCCATTGTCCAAGTGTGAGTTACTCACCACAAGTGGGATTTTTCTCACTTAAACCCTGAAGTCCACATCTCTGTCTTTTTTTGGTTAAGGGATAGTTACAGGCAATCCGTGAAACTAATTCTTCTTCTAATTCTTCTCCTGTAATTAAGGTATCTACCTTAATCAATCATGTCCTGCAAATGCCTTTTATATCCATTGTTCAAAAAGGGTTTCTAGATTATTTGGTCATGTAGCTCTTTACAAGGAAAGATGCTTGAAGGTAGATGAGCAGACTCTTCTGTTTGTTTCTGGAGATAGACTCCTCTGTTCTTTCAATCAGTCCTCAGCAAATCCAGGGGCTAATCATCAAGTTCCTTTAATCAGGGAACAAATCCCTCTCTGAAAGTACTAGATACTAGTACTAGTAGTAAAATAGCCTAAACTTAGTGCCTGATTTTTAGTAGGGTAGAATTCTGTAAGGGGAATTTAACGAAGAATCTGACACCAAGAGTGAGGAGTATTGTTGGGAGTTTCATTTAAACCTTGGTAGTGGAGGTATTCATAAAGGCTACATTCAGTCAAGTGATGCTCCTTTTCAGAGCTTGCTGTGGGTATGCCTATGCTTACATGTTGTATCAGGATCACCCACCAGAGAGCTCCAATGCTTTAACTGTCCACTCCACCCCTACATGTCCCATTTTTTTTTTTAAACTATCTCTTTAGGCCGTGAAGATCAGACATGGAAGGAGAAGAAGGAAGGATCACTGCTTCATACTCAGGAGCTTCTTCTACAGCGTGGGTTCATTTGCCTTTACATGCTTAGCATTGAATTTGAGTATTGCTCAGAACCAGTGATGAGGGGCAGCAAGCAATTCAGAATGGAGATCTTGTTGAGCCTTAATGAATCCTCTTCTTTGGAAGAACACCCAGTCAAAAGGGAACACTGAACAAGGTTTTGGAGACTCTTGCTCATTACTTTTTGTTTTTTTGTGTGCATCCCTCAAAACATTTTTGCTTGTTTAAAGATAAGCTACAGATGGAGAATCAAATAACAGTGATGGAGTTCATCCTCTTGGGTGTTGCTGATGATGATAACTCCATTATGTGCTCTTTATCATCCTGTTAGTCATCTACATCTTGACTTTAACAGGTAATGTTCTCATCATCACCATCACCTTGATAAACCATTGTCTTCAGACTCCCATGTAATTCTTCCTCAGGAACTTCTCCATCTTAGAGATGGGCTTTACTACCACTGTCATCCCCAGAGTGTTGGCCAACCTGGCATTAGGCAAAAACCCAATTTCCTTAAGGGGTTGTCTCACTCAAACTTTTCTTTACGCAATGCTAGGTACCACTGAGTTTCTCCTGTTAGCTGTGATGTCCTTTGACAGGTATGTGGCCATCTGCAAACCACTACACTATGTGGCCATTATGAATTCACGAGTCTGCAGCCTGCTGGTGATTACTGCCTGGATTTGTGGGCCTGTCCTCATTCTTTCTCTATCAGTGGTATATTTCCAGATGCCATTCTGTGGCTCAAACATTGTTAATAGTTTTTTCTGTGATACCACACCAATGGTTCAGCTCAAATGTGGAAATACCAAAGTCCTAGAGAGCATGAATTTCATCTCATCAGTGTTCACCATACTGGGCAGCCTAGCTATTATAGCTGTATCCTACATCAACATCATTACTGCTGTGGTCAAAATCCCCTCTGTGGTGGGCAGATATAAAGCTTTTTCCACCTGTGCCTCTCACCTCACTGGGGTGTCTATCTCACATGGCAGCTGCATCTTCATGTACCTCACACCCACCCAGACCAACAGATTGGACATCAGCAAGGTGGTGTCCATCTTGAACACTGTGGTATGTCCTCTGCTCAATCCATTCATCTATAGCTTGAGGAACACACAGGTTCAGGAGGCCTTAAGGGAGAGCATCAAACGGAGTATAGTCATTTCAAAACACCCAGAAATTTGAGGTGGTGATGAATGTCGATGTAATGGAGAACATGGAAGAAAATATTGTAGTAACATTTCTGTCTCTCCTTAGACATCCATCCATTTACCAACATACCTATTACTACACGTCCATCCATCCACGCACTCATCCACTCCTCAATCCATCCACAAACAGTTGTCAATAATCTTGTAAATTACTGAAGCCTGTTCTTTCAGTTCTTTCTCCTTCCTTTTTCTTGCCAAAGCTTTCTGCTTTTCTTTTCTCCATGTTGAATGATTTAGGTTAGTGGTGGCTAGTCCACACATCACTCTCTTACTGGATAGTCCAAGTCCACATATAGAACAAAGGGCAGTACAAAGGGTTTTATGGAACAACATCACTGTGTCTTTTAAGGAGCCACTGTACACACGAACAGTTCCTTCCTTCAGTGGGATGAAATCAGAGAGTATGGCAAGGTATGGGACAGAGGGAAAAATAATGTCATTGGCTATCTGAATAAATGCCTGAGCCTTCCATCCTCATCAGTCTCAGTGATCCATGGTGTATGATAGATCTTTCTCTGATGTATACATGCTTCAGTTTGGGCCTCAGCAGATAAAGAGTGTTGGTTACCCCGTGATACAGTGAGTGAAGGTGGTAAGAATGCTAGATGACTTCTGAAACAAGCTGTGTATTTTCTGTTCACTGATGAAAGAAATAGTGTCAAGCTTGTAACATTCACAGGTTTTCAGAAATTCATATAATGATTGATGGAACCCATCTTATTTAAGCTTTAGGAAACCAGAATGGGACTGATCTTACCTAACATCAGTGATTGGATTCAGCACTTGATTTGGGCCTATGTATAGGGATCTGAAAATAGGCAGTAGGATATGTGTACAGATGGCCACCCCTGGCTTACACTACGAAGACAATAACATGAATAATTAGAAGGCATTGCAGAGAGCAAAAGGGCTTACTGTGTATACAGTTTGACCTGGCTCATGGCACCGCTAACAAAACAGCAATGTGAGAAATGATAGGACAGTATTGATAACAAATGGGGAGTATGAGTGTAACAGAACCAATCAACAAGGTAGAAATTACCCAAGCAACCGTACCATAAATATCAAAGAAGTCAAATATCAAATATCAAATATCAAACCTAGGCTAATGAGGAAAGGGTAAGCAGAGGTGGGCTTTTTTATTTAAAGGGGATAGCTGGTGGTAAAGGGGAAGAACTTGGGAGGGGAAAAGAGTATCAGGTGAAGCAACTTTTCCTTAAATTTGGTGAGGGAACATCAGGAAAGGCACTCTGACTTCCTGCCGAAGAATTCTCTTTTACTGGCATCTTGTGCTGTTTTAGATGCTCTGGACCACAACCTGAACTGGGCTAGTAGATACAGCTTAGGAGCTCCACAAGGTTCAACTCCTGTACAGTAGGAACTTCTCAATGGAATCACCCTTTGGACTTTCAAAAATGGCTTAAATAGAAGTGTTTTAGGGTATCAGGGTCATTGTCATGGTTTGGGTGGTACGACACAGGATGTACCATGCACCTTCTGGAGCAGCAGCTGGCGACATCTGAAAAGGCCCTCAATGTCCAGGAAGTAGTATTTTTGAGTAATAAAGAGAAGTAAGCACGTACAAGGCATTTTTAATTGGAAAGATAGTTTGCTTAGTGTGTAGGGATTCATGCCGTAGAATTGGCACCAGGATGTCAGAAATGTCTGTATCTCCCTTGTGATACCAAAGGCAGTTTATGTCACTTGTCTACTGTGACAGCAAATTTAATTCTCTCCTTTCTGTTCAGTAACTTTCAGTGGACTTTTGTCCCTTGGATTTACTAATCATACTTTCTGTCATTAACAGCAGCTAAGGGAAATAACACAGAATAGTTGTCTCTGGTTTGGCATCCTGTACATTAAAGATCACAATATCCTGCAGGTATCAGCTCACTACCACATTGCATTGAGCCTCCTCATTCTCACCCTTGGGCATTCCATCCTGTTCCCAAGAAAGCTGCACACACAAGCAAGTTTGAACATGCTTTTATTGATGGCCAGAAAGCAGAGCAGGAGGTAGCCCTGTTGGGCAGAAGCAGGAGGAAGGGAACAATGTGAAACTGTATGTACTTGGACCTGCATTTTTACCTTGCCATGGAGACATTCCTTAGTGCAGCAGCCTGTGCATATGCCGTGAGAACATCTCTGACTCCATTTCAGCTGCCCCCAGAAACCTCTGAGCACCAGCAGATGTTTGATGCACTGTGAAAATGGGGCACTGAGCAATTCAGTCAGAGGGGAGGCGGTCAGGTAGGTCCTGGAGTGCAAACTTCCTCAGCTCGTCACGTATCCAGGGCTCAAAATAGGAGACTCTGGTCAATACTTTAGGGAAGACGCGATGTTTGGGTCTGTAAGAAACAATGCCATGAGCTTTCCCATTGCAGACTAATGGGCCACCAGAGTCACCCTGCGAGTTAAGAGGAATGGGAGGGATCAGACATGTCAGCGCACAGCCCCTTCCACCTGCCCTAAGGAAGAAACCAGCCCTCTTGCCTCCCTCTGAGTGAAGAACGTCTTCTTTTGACCCTCCTCTTTCAACCACCTCCCTGCTGACTGAGCTCCACAGAGCTTGTAGCTGCCTTACTGCTCCTCTAAGCTGATCCGTGAAGCAATTCAGGCCTAGAGGCCATCTGAGATTCAAAAACTGCCTTCATATCCCTGAAAAGAAGAATCTAGTCCTACTTTAGATACGTGAGAACATCTGAGACATCCCTCTGCATCAGGACAAGACAAAGGATTTACATGAGATCTGCAGCCTCCTGGAGCAGTGTCTAGGGTAGAGTATCCACAGACATGTAACAAGGTACACGATGCTGACAGTTGGGCAACTACACCCCGATTCAGGGAGCACGTCAGCTCCAAATCTCCTGAGAGGAGCGTCAGCACATCATCCTGAAGAATCTAGTTCATTTTAATCCCCTTCATCCCCCACCTGAGAACCAACCTGACTGTCTAATCCCAACCTCATCCCAAGCTTGGAGTCCAAAACAACACTTACACGGAAAGTTGATTTTTTGCCATCCTCATCACCAGCGCAGATCATAGACTGACACAGGTAGTTCCCTTTGAAAAACTTCTCCTCCTCACACACTTTTTCACACTGTACTTTCAAGTCCACCTCCATCAGCACACTAGTCTTATCCCCTGCCATTGATGTCCAGCCCCAGCCAGCCACTTTGCATATAGTCCCTGGTTCCACATGCTCACTGTGACTGGGCAAGCGGATATGACTCACTTTCTTAGTCAGCTTGGCCCTTGGCTTCAGCTGCCAAGCAGAGAGAACATATGGTTAGAGCAGGCAAAGGAATGGGAACAAGTTCATGGGGTTTGGGAAGTGAGCCTGGGGAGATTCCCCAGGCAGCAAGGATATATGGGGGTATACCTTCAGCAGCATGATGTCATTTATAACGGTATCTCCTGAATAGTTGGGATGGATGACCCAGTGTCCAACATGGAACTTCTGCTGGCTTGGCTCTTTCTTATTTATGTTGTGGGCTCCCAGGGTCACGGTGATGTTCACTTTCCTGCCAGGAAACACCAACATGTTCCAGTTGCACTGACCACAGCCACCCAGCCTCCATGGTGGTGGCTCTCTGTAGCTTGGGTTCCTTCCACAATTCAGCTGAGGGTCCCTTACCCCATGCTGACATAGGTCTGGGGTGTCCCATTTTGAAGACAAAAGGGGAGAAGGGAATGGGAGACACTGGCCTCTCTTCTCCAACAGTAGCTCTGACTGATGGTAGAAACCCTGGACCAAGAGACCACTGCCAAGGCATCCTGTCCCCACGGGTGCTCTTTCACCCCAGACTAGGACTGCAGCTCTTCATAACTGTGTGAGACTTGAAAAAACCACATGTACAAGAAAGACAGGGCCTTACCTCTTTCCAGCCACACAGTGAGCTGCTGAGAGCACTGCATCTGGGCGAATCAGGAATCCTCCACGTTGAAATCTACCTGACTGGCTTCCAATTGATAAATGAGCCATGTAGGGCCTGGAGTGGGGTTTAGCTTCCCATCCACCAATGATCCTTCCTGGAAGAGAGATGAGAAGTGTTAATATCCTAGACGCCACTATTTCCCATGAAGTTGGGAGCCACATGAGGAAAGAGGGTCATCCTCTAACGTCCTGTGCCAATGATGCCAATAACTCTCTTTGCTTGGGCTGTCCACAGCATTGCTTATGCACAATGGAGAGAAAAACAAGCAACACTTCCTGGGGCTGACTGACCACACCTGACTCTGGGTTTCTAAAATGCTCTCAAATGGCACCACACTTGTACCTGTAATGCTTCACTGGGGTCAGGCAGAGTCTGTGCAGAGAGATATGAGTGGTGTAGAGAGTAGACATATGAGAAAAGACAAGGCAGGTACCAGACAGACTTCCTACTCACTGCCCATTTCTGCCCTTGCATGTCCTGGTCTAAATACCGTCTCTTGTACTCACCAGCCCCAGCCCATGGGAGAAGGAGAAAAGCACTTGAGAGCAGAAGAAGCAGCAGCATCTTTTACCACTGTCCTGAAGAGGCAAAACAGTTTTTATGGCCAGGCAGGAGACAGGTACAGAATGGTGATCTATATATACGAAATTTGGAGCTGAATCAGGAAACCTCAGCCTGCTATCAGCTTGTGTCATTTCCTGCTTTTGTTCTTACAAACCCCAAACTTACAAGGGCTTTGGTGAAGGGTTCATGTCACAATCTCTCATTTTTGTCTCCATCTCCTCCAAAAGTTGGAGAGATTTGGGCTTGTTCAAAGTACTCAGAGTGCTCAGTACTCAGGTAGCAGTGAAAGGAGTGGGGTGTCTCCAGCCAAGGGCATATCTCACTGGAGACCCTCGGTGAGGCCCTCCTTGGATCCTAGATATGAGTTGGGTGGTTTGGTTTTTTGTTTGTTTTTCTTCTTTTCCCTGTCCCCTGGTAGGAACAGCGAGAGCTGAACAGGGCCAGGCAGAGGTCCTGGTTCTTATCAGAGGTGCTGACTGCCATCAGAGGTGCCCTTGGGATATTGGAAATCACCTGTCAGAGTAGCGAAGGCACAGGACCTACCAGAGACCCACAAGCTCAAGCACTAGTGTTCTAGATGATCAGACAAGTCCACAGTGATGAGGAAAGGCTGAGGTGAAGCTAGGAAGCCAGTCCATGGGCCCAGGTCTAGATCAGCAGGTTACATGGCCGGGTGCAGGCGTGGCTGAGACAGAGCTGGAGCTGGAGCTCCGGTGGGGACTTGATCATTCAACCTATTTTTATCCATCCAGTTGTCTGTTCACTCAGATCGTAACATCACAACCTAGATAGAACAATATCCTGGGTTACAATGTCAAAAGCCTTGCTAAAGTCGAGGTAAATGACAACGACTGCTCCTCCACATCCATAATGCCATGATTAGAGAAGGCAGTCACATTGGTCAGGACTGTTTTACCCTTGGCAAGTGCATGCTGACTGTTCCAATCCCCTTCCACCCCTTCATATGCCCTAATGTGCATTACAAGAGGACTTGCTCAATGATTTTTCCAGACTTGTTAGAAAATGTCTGCTTCTCCTGTTGTCTAGATTTCACCTTTCACATTTTTATTCTTCCAGAGCCTGCCAGCATGGCATCTAATCTGGGTTAATCTGCTTCCTGGAAGCTTTTTAACCACACAATTTCCATTCCTGTGAGAGATAAAGCGGAAAGCTGCAAACCACCTTGGTTTCTGTCATGTATGAGGTCATCTTACCTGGAGGAGCACAGACCCAAAGAGAGGAGATGCTTCAGACAATACCAAGCTGCAGCACTGAATGATAATAAACACTTGAGCAAACCCATGCCTCTCTTCAGTATTCTGATGCTTCTGTGAAGGAGAATTCCTCTCCTCGACGGTAACTCATACAACTGTAAAGTAAGAGACTGTGTCTTCCCAAGTGAGAAGATCTGCTGCAAGGCTTGTGACCTGTTGAATGGGGCTGTGCAACCACACTGCTGAGAACATGGGCTGGGGCATGTCCAGGCCCTGCGTGGTGGTGCCATTATAGAATTAATGTTTTGTGAGCCCATGTATTTTTGTGTTCAAAATATTGGAAGGGTCAGAGTGGACATTGCTTGTGTTGCAGCTCAGAAGAGCAATGTTTTTGAAGGTGAGCACTGAGACTGTGTACTGCCCCTCTTGGGATGTGTCAGGAGGCATATAGGAGGTGATTGGGGCCTCAAGACCCACTGAGACAAATCACAAAGGACTGTGAAAAGCAGAGAGACACAAACATGTGCTGTGCCATTCACACCAACTACCTGGAAGCATCTCTGGAACTGACTGCTCTGAGAATCACAGGGAAATTTTACGTTGGAGGTACTGGGTTTATTTGCTATAAAGCAGAGACTGAGCATGTACCCATGCTTTGTGGGTGCTCAGAGGACCTGGGCATGAGCTGCAGGTTAACTTCCATGACAATGAAGACACGTTGTCTGTCCTTTGCCCACAAGTGGAGCAGACTGTACCAGAGGTGGCTTTTGAAAGACTGAATTTCAGCAAGGTGAATCCGGGCACATCTTCCACTGCTGCAAATGGACTGAAAGGCAAGTGGTCATTAGAAGTATGGACTGAGGACAGGACACCTTTAAAGTGCTGGGGGGTGCAGCTGATACACGGCAGAGGCAGAGACTTCCTCCCCTGGTTGTGATCAGAAGGGAAAGTCTCACTCCTAATGCCTGTGGTGGAGCAGTCAGTAGCTTTGGCAGAGGGTAGAGGTGAGAGACCGAGAAGACAGAGCCCCAGGTCCTGATACCCTTGGATGAGTACCCCTCCTGGCTTTTCACATCCCTTTTTACACACTCCTGGCTGCAGCACAGTGCCTTTAATCATTGAAATGCTACCAGTTTCTTCACACTTGTAAACTCTCCAGGCCTCTGCCTTCCCAGGGACTGCAAGGGATCTGACTCCCCTACTGCCACATAGGCTGTGCATCCGTTTGTGCCCACAACAAGCCCCTCACCAAAACGCTGAATTCAAACTTCAAATGTGCAGAGCTGCAGTGGTACGTTCGTTGGAGGAAATCACAGGAGCCAGAAAATTAGGACGTGTTCAGCTCTGGTCCCTTCTAAAGAGTGAGAGCTCAGCCAGGTGGCCTCCCAGGTTTCTATGCAATAGGAAGCAGCAGTAACTCTTAGGACTGGGGACACGTGGAGGAGAGAGAAGGGTCCTTCCACTGTCCTTGGCTTTGTGCTTTGTCTGAGCAGCAGGAGAACTCAACCGATGGCTAAGATGAGAAGCCAGCTCTGACCCATAGTTTATCTCACATGACTTTGTCTTTGATTTTGTCCCCTTGCAGGCTGAGGAATTTTAGTGACTGCAGACTCAAAGGACTTACTGTGGGATACCAGGAGTGGCATTTTGGCACTGTACAAAAGATACAGATGGGAAGTTTAAAGCAAGGGTCAAAGTCGGGGAAAGGGAAGGACTAAGGTGGTCTGAGGACTAAGGTGTGTTAAAGGGGGAATGAGGCGATAAAAGGAGCTGGTTGTGTATAAACAGGCAGCTCATCGGTGCACTTGTCTGGCCATTTCTTGTCTTCTTATGAAACTTCATCTCACTAATGTTTCTGAGAATGAGTTCTCTAATCCCCAAGCCCGTGAGAAAAGCAGGAACTGTGCTCCCCATTGCAGGGCTGTGAGAACCAACAGACCACACATAGATCTGTGTGAGACTTGCTTCTGCCCCTCCCTCCCCCAGCACTAGGCTGCGAGGCTCATTCAGAAAGCCACGATCCTTACCTCAGACATATTTACTTTTCCTGGAATAATGTCAGCCTCTTCCTTTCAGCTTTTACAGTTATTTCCGCAGCTTTTCATATTCCATTGGTGTTTGCATCCAAGGTGAGAGATCAACCTCTATGTTGATTTTAAAGTTTGTGTGTTTTCTCCCTGGGTGTGAAAACAAGGAGGCAGAAATTCAATGTGAAACCTGAAGCACAATCTTTCCTACAGGGCACAAGGGGAAGAAGAATATGTTGATGCAATCTCAAGAACCAAAATAAGGTTGAAAGAAGACAAAAGACATAGAAAAGCTGGATCAACCTGTGGAGGCTGGGAAAAACTCCTTTCCCCTAATTTTGGACTTGTGTCACTTTCCTACAATCTACAGCTCCTTCCAAGAAAGACGCAAGGATTGTTTGATAACGTAATTTCCTGATGATAAATTGCAAAACCTGGGAACTCCTCCAGGCACAACTTAGAATGAGAATATAAATACCTGTCTTATCTTGAAGATGAAGCCTAACCTTGTGAGCTGGGCATGGATCTTTCTCAGGAAGCTGTTTGCTTCGCCGATACCTTTTAACCCTCTCCTGTTTCTGGCTGATGCAGGGTGTGCTTTAATCACTGACACCCTACAGGAAAAGCTGACTGCTCAGAGGTGGAAGGTTGGTTAAAGGTTGGTTAAAGATTGAAGCCTTGTCTGAGTGCAGCTATCAGAGTGGGGACCATGAGTCACTGGCCCCAGTAGCTGATGTGCCAGGAACTGGGGAGGCCAGCCAGCCTGCTTCAGTAGGGTAAGAGACTTGTAAACTGGGCATTGAAGGAGCTGTAAGTTTTGGCTCGGTACCAGACATACCCCAGATTTCAAGAGCTGGCTACTGGAGGGATCAGCAGGACCAAACTGAACACTGCAGAGACCATGGGGTCTGAGAGACCCGTTTGTGTGCATGTGTCTGTGTGCATGAGGCAAGTGGAGATGGGAGGACGCAAGGGCCAGCTATTGTGTAGGCTGAGTGTCTAAGGCTGGTTACTGGGGGATACATCACAGGTGTCTGTGTTTGTGTATCCAAGTAAGTCTGCATCCCAGCAGCTGGAGTGAGGTTGGAGGTGTCAGTGGCTTACCTGAACGGGTGCCAGCAACTGGGAGACCTGGGATCCAGAGCGACTACTGCGTCGACTGAGTGTGTAAGGCTGAGTATCTTAGTGTTATTGGGGGACCCCTGTGCGTACGTGTGGCATGCAGCAGCACTGGAAAGCTGAGGAGGATGAATCCCAGGTCACCTCAGCACAGCTGTGGGGTTATTCACAGTGTACCTGTGGTACCTCAGCATCCTGGGAAAATTCACCTGGGTATATTATTAGCATATGGGTGAAATAATGGTCTGAGCCCCACTGGGGTTATGGACATCATTGGTCTGCCAGTTAGTTATTCAGTGCGAGAGACTGGTTTACACATACTGAGCTGCATGTATTTCCCAGTATTTCAGCTGGGTGTGTTTAATCTACATTGTCCTTAAAAATGTCCTTCCAACTGAGTTGTCCACCTACAGCTGTGCTGCCTTCATAGGGATAGAGAGAGGAACTAGCATCTCAGGGGGAAATGATCTGGATCACAGGAATCACACTGGAAATAAGAATTTGTTCATTTTTCACTCTGAATAGATATGAGGAAC